AGAATCTAGCCACATAACAGCCTTTTATTATGGAGATTTTAAAATGTGATTTTAAGGAGGCTCAATGGCTGCCTCAGCTTTCAATATAAGTGTGCTACACAATACTTGTGGCTCCAGCATTCCTCGTGTAAAAGTTCAGGTCACCAGTAAGGTGAAATATTTTGCTAAAACACATATCGGTGGAATGACAGACTCCACTCTTGGCACTGGTTGGTGACAGTTTTGTATAGGACAGAATGGCAATTGTTTACCAAGCACTGATCATGAAATAATGTTGAATGTTTATATAATATATAAATATGCATATATTGTAGATTTATTGGCTAACTTTTGTTCTTATTATGTGACTGATCTGAATTGTTCCAATGGCATAGGGTATTTTGATTGCATATTCAGTATCATGCAAAGTTCGTAGCATGTGGACAAGAAATCAAGTTGTGGCTGATTTAAATCAGTTGAGTTGTCGTAATCGGTGCTGAAAGCCCTTAGGTACTGACTAGGTTGATGGTGTTTGGAAAGACGAGTATAAGGCACGAGGAGAACGAGATGCCTGACACTTTCTTAATGATAATCAAGGTTAAGCATATCGCCCCTTGCTAGAGATTTGTTTGTTAATAATGGGAAGCCATTTGTTCACTTTATTTTCATTAGAACTGCCCCTAAAGCAGTTTTTTCATTTGTCATGTAGTATGTAACTTTTTTGTCTGTGGAGTACATCTAAGCACGTCTTAGTGGCCCCCATCCAGGATTTAAGGGTTATCGTAATTTTTTTACCAGGTGCCAGTACCAATTCGCCTTATTGACTATACAATTCAAAGATTCTAAAAAAAAAAAAATATTATTAAAGAAAAAGAAAGACTTATGCTACCTCACACTTTAGTATGCTTTCTTGCAGTTAGATCTCTCAATTGATAGCTGATGTTTGCTCACAAAAAGACTTGGAAACCCATAGCCTTTTACTATGTGACACATAGAGGTTGCTAGCAAACAGAGTTAAATTCACTGTGTCTGTGGCACATATTTCTTATGATCCTGTTCTTTTCATTTTTGCCCTAAAAGTTTGCCATGTTTTATGAAGGGATGGGAGCAGCCACACAGAACTATATACTCACTGATCCAGAAATCCTTGTTTACAATTTCTTAAGTTGATTGTGTAACCAGTTGGTAACGGATAATGTTGTCACCTGCGTACTCCTTAAAAAACAGTGTTAATCTCTGTCTCTGCGTGACGAGGACCCCATTCACTGAATATACAGGAAGTTTTTTTACAAATATGATGTTATAAGCAAGTCTAAGATGAAATTTAAGAAACACCTTTGATTTTTTTAGGCTCGTTCTTCTTAAATGTAGCAATATCACTTGACATGAACTGGACTATATCCACAAGGAAATGATCTATTTTACCTGACAGGAGTGTTTGTTAGCATAAAGGAGATTGTTGTTGGAAAGAGGATTTGGGAGGAAAAGGTTATGTTTAAATTAAAGACACTTCCATGCCTTTTGATTTCTTGAATGGCATGAATACACCCCTTCAGTCATGAAATTTCACCACCCATGAGAACATGATTTGAATGTCCTTCACGGCATGTTGCCTTTTGCATTAAGATATCCTTGAATTGGTCAGAACTGTTAAGAGTATCATTATATGAAACAACTTTTTTTCGCATTTTTTATGATTTTTGTCTTCTATATCAAATAGATTCTTATGTATTATAAAAGATATTAATTAATATAATTGTTTGTGTAAAGTTGTAAATCTCTTGTGTGAGGTATTAATGTTAATGGCTTCTGTATTGCATCAATGTGATCTGACATTTTATTAAAAAAGTACAGACTTACACTTAAAAAAATTAGATTTTCTGTTTAAATTTATTACATGCATGTAAGGCTAGAATGTTAATGGCATCTCAGTTGGACGTGTACATGGGGAGATTGAAATGGTTCAGATCAAAAAGTTTTATATCAAGAGGGAAATGGTTCAGATCTCAATTTTTTATGAAGTTGCCTTCACATATGTAACCTTACAATTGCAAGGTGGTCATTAGCTTCTGTCTAGCCCTTGGCTAAAGTCACCCCCTGGTGCTGTAGCATGAATGGCTTTAGGAGCTAAAATCAGCCGGGTGGCGCGACTGGGACTTTTTGCCTGGGGCATGGGCCTTTCGGCAATTTCGGCCCCAGTTCCTCCTTGAATTAATGGTTTTGGATCACTGGGTAAGTGCTTCCAATTGACTGCTTTTCATAAAAGAGTTCATCAAAAGAACCCCCCTCCCTCACAAAGCCGCCCCTATGAAGTAAAAGGAAACCTTATGCATTGAAATACCAGTTTATTCGCCATGATCTGTTTGTTCTTCAATTGTCCATGCTCATACTGGCTGCAGTCAAGTTCTTGATGATAAAAGGTAGGACTCAAGATTCCCATGGATTTGATATTGGAATAATATTATTAGATTTTGTTGTCCGAAGATAGATCAAGGCCTTAGTCGCGAGTCAAGTCTTATGTAACATACGGAGAGAGAAAGAGCATTATTTTCGATTTGTTTGGGTCACTTTTAATCTTTTTGCGATCAGTACTCATGAACTGGGGTGTGAGTATGGGTGGGGCCGTTCTTAACCAGGTGTTATGACCCAACTACTGTAGAGACAGATTGTGAATTGGCCAAATATACACCAATTGAAAGTCTCAAAAGAAGCCATTGGACACTTTTGCTCTATGTCATATACTGGGCTGCATTTAACAATTACTTTAGATAATTCTGTCTGGGGCAGGCATTGAGATTTAATGTGGAGATCTTTTAAGAATCCCGACTAAATGTATGCAGTTTGGTGTTCTTAGTATCCCGCCATTCCAGTTTTCAATAAAGTCGGTCTTCGGCTCATTTATCCAAAGAATGTCACTTTGTTACATTTGATATAATGCCACATCATCCCGTCATATGATCCCATTTACGGCATCCATCACTGGCGACATATGGTGAACTTTGAGCTGTCCTTGATGCTTGCCTTTTTTGAGCTCTCATTATGCTAGGACTAATACAGGGCCGTAAGCTGGAGGGGGGAGGGGGGGGGGTCAGAAGGGGTTTTGAACAGCACATGAGTTAATCATAAAGTGAACAAACAATATCAGAATCAGGACCTACAAGATGAGGATGATAAATAAAAAAGTATATATATATAAATTTCTTTTCTTTTTTTGCAATGAAAAGAGTGATAAAAATAACTAAAACTATAAAATTATAAAATTTTCTACTAAAACATAAAAGAAGAGTGATTTAAGCATTTAATCATTCAAATTATACAAAATAGACTGTTCAATTCAAATTAGTTCATATATTCAAATTTGTGAGTTCCCACATGAGCTATAAATTGCAAAGTGCAGTTGAACTAGTGGCAGTCTTCAAAGGTAATCACTCGCTGTCCACATTGGCACACTGTCATAAAAGAAAGATGTCTGTTATTGTTTTGATATTACTGAACATGTGACACATGTGAGTGCTTAGTGTTGTGCCAGCTGAAAACCCACCCACTCTGGACGATGTACAAAACCAATGTTAAAAGGCAGAGTTTATAATGTAGTCATTTACACACCCCTCTTAGGGACCATTCCCATAACCCTATCGTACTAGCAGAATCGATCTATCTCCGAGGGGATTCTCTCTAAATTTCATTCAGTTTAAACATGCATGAAAGTTAATTACTCCCCAAGCAGCTTCAGTGAACGTGACAGACATTAGAGCTGCTTAAACTGAATGCTATTTAACGAGAATCCCCTTAGGAGCTAGATTGGTCCTGCTAGTACAATAGGTTTATGGGAACCCAGTCTTAGAGCAAGCTGACAGCCGTGTTTACATGGTAGAAATAATAGATAGATGGCATTAGATTCAGCAGAGATGACAGTAGGGCTTAGATGACTTGCGCGATGCTCAATTATTCAAAGATACAACTTACACGGCATCTGTATCGTTTGTCATTTGAATTCATAGATACATTGTAAGTCGTCAGCTAAGAGTTCCCATACTCACTATGCAGATTTCTATTCCTATTAATATCACACGTGGACATTTATTAGTCAGATTTATACCACTCCGCTTATTTCAGCACACTCAATATTCTGCAAACTGACTGAAATACATGAATGGTTGGCATTAGTCAAAACAGCATAGTAGTCTATTTATATAGAGAGAGATGGAAAACTGGATAGTAAACTTGCTTAAAGCACACCACCTTTAACTGTCTCGCATGCAGGTATCAGCAGACATTGTGTCAGCACAAATTCTACCTGCTTAATAGATCTAGTATTCCTTTGTTACTAGACACATAATGTGTTGATGAGCAGCGTGTGTAATGCACAAGTTTGTTTAAGCATAGGACAGTGTTACATTGAGGCAGCGGTCCATTGTTGGATTTTGTTAAAATGATGAACTACATGTATATATAACAGGTATTGGTAAGAGTTCCACCTATAAGTTTATGTAGGATTGCGAGACTGACACTGTTTGGAGTGCGCAGCACAGGATGTACTTGTATTGGGGAAACTATGAGAGCCTGTGGCATGTGGAAGGCAAGGCAGCACAGTGGAGTTACCAGTCTACAAAGATGGATCTCAAATATGCATCACACCTTCATCATAGTTTATCTTTCTAGGTTGCAGCAACAGGGTGGTTACAGCAAGAAGAGAAGGTCATGTAGTGGTTGATTATAAATCTAGTGGAATGAAGATTGATATTTTAGTTTAATACCTTTATTTCTGTCAGGTTTTCTGTGTTGCCGGAGTGGAATCTAGATGCAGATATATCATATTTTGTAAGAATGGATATAATTGCAGATTTAGGTTATAGTTGTAAGATAATATTTCATTTGTCATTTGTTCCTTTTTTTCTAGATATCTGCAATTCAACTTGTTGCAGTTATAAATTGTAAAGCAGTGATGGAAGTGATTTCTTACATGCCTCCAGAAAAAAGTATTTTATGTTTTAAATAATTTGTTGTCTTATCTTTGTTAGGTTGCAATAACAGTCTATTGGCTGGGGAAGACAGTTGAGGGAACGTACAATGGCCCTCAGTTAGACTTCAGCGCATTTACTGGATTGATCAAGAACCAAGGGACAGGAAGTCTTTTTGAGCACACGCCACGAGCACACACACGACAAGATTCGGCAGACTCCTATGAACATTCGAGTGCGTATGGGTCATACAGAAGCGAGGATGTGAATCACAAGACCAGTACACCTGGTCACCATAGTAACACGTCATACGATTCAGTGGAACAGCCACGTTTTCTGCAGGATATTAGTACAGGCAGTGGCCACCATCAAAGGGAGAATTCGTACGACTCCTTCGGATCATTCGATCGCCATAACTCAGACGATAATAGTTTTGAAAACATGCCAGTGCGAAACAATATGCAGCATTACGGAAGCGCAGGTAATCTCAGCCATTCAGGACAGCTACGCTATTCTGCGACACTGGACGGGCTTTACTCCGATGAAGTTCCCTCGATGCAACAGAAAGCAAGTAAGTTCGATGTTCACCACAGGAGTAACCCTGACCTAACCAAGACATACACGTTTGGATTGCCTGCGGAACACCAGGGCAGATACAGATCTGGAAGCACACAAAACATACACCACCAGAGGTTCTCTTCCACAGACAGTCTCGATGGAAATTCTTATGGAAATCATTCGCGCCAATCATCTGGAAGTAGCGAGAATGCTTTCTCAAAAAGTGTGCGACGGACTAGCACGGCAAATCTTCCATACGATCCTTTGCAGTTCATTAAAGTTGGGAAAGCTCCTTTGGCTGAGGAAGCCAAGGAGACTATCACTCTTGTTAAAGAAGTAAAAGAATTGAAAAAGAAAATTGAACATGAGGATGAGGACTGGCAATCGGTAGGTGAAGCTGACTGGCATGCGGTAGGTGAACCTTTTTGCACATTTTAACCACAATAACTTCTAAAGGGGCTTTACACACTCAGGTTGAAGTGACCAGTTGAATGAAATGCAGTCTTATATATAAATATTTCTAAGAAAACCAATTATCAGATTTTACAACATCCATTTGAAATGGCATCACAGCATATTGCTTTCATATAGCCCCATTGGGAATCTATAGCCTGCCTTACAAACTGATTTGCGGGAATTGTTATTTGGCCAAGCTGGATATATTAAAGCAACAAATTATCATTTCTTGCATGTTGAAATCATAAATAAGAGATATCAACTGGATCACTCCAAAATTGTGTGTGTAAATGGCTCCTTACAGTCATGAGTCCACTACAGTGAGGGTAAGTCTTTGCACACATGCATGAAAAAAAAAGCATGCATTGAAGAAAATCTAACTAGAAAATAAAAATGTGACTCACAGCACTCACGATGCAAGATGGCAGCTTGCGGTGCATTGTGTTTTGTGGTGGCATCAGCTTGCGATTGGCTTTGGAATGAGCTTTTTACTACCATATATGGCTCTTTATTAAATGGATTCGATTCCATTTCTGATGACGGAATTAATGAAGCTTGTGTCATTATCAAAACTTAAACTAAAATATATTTGTAACATCTTTTTAATATTTATTTAAGTGGAATATATATACATATACATCTATATATCTCAAAAAAGGATATGTATATGTAGTTACTGAAAATAATTTTAAATTTTAGACTTTATACTGTGCACCACTCACAACACCAAAGCTGTTGCGTCAGTTTAGATTAACCAGAATGTAAAAAGAGTGCACCCTATTAGAGCTGTCTCCTCATGATCAGTGAATACGTCCTTGACAGAGTGAAATTTGTCAGCTGTTAGAGAACAAAATGTGCAAATCAAATGGCAGAATAACATATTGTAACATAGGGGTATGCTATAATATGGTAACTTAATGACTCGAACACAGAGCCCTAGGAGTATTCAAACTGTTACGATAATGGTTGAAAAGAGTACATTTTGACATGCTGTTATGCAATCTGCTTGAAAAAATTGGTGCAGACCTGGGATATGCTAAGATATGACGACAGTTATCACAATAAAATTGTAAATGTGTAATTAAATTTTTCAGCATTAAAGCATTTTATGACCAGTCCAGAAGTTGACCAGTTGCTTGATAAAAAAAGTAGACAGAGAAGAAAAGGAAAAAACTCATGACCAGTAATTCATAATAAGGAAGTAGATAAAATGGTTTTCTTTATAATGGATAATGATGATGATGCAAACTGAAACAGAAGGGGATGAAGAAAAACTTATTTTTTTCAATTAATTGGGGGTGGGCAGATTGGTGCAAGTGGTACAATGCACTCTCTGCTCTGTCATTACTTTAACCTATGTTTGTGGTGTAGAATACTAAGGTTGCATGATTGGTAGCAATTTATTTAATAATAGACATTTGCATGTCTGTGGAATGCAGTGTCAGGCCACTTAATAGGGGTATGTAGATTGTTGGGGTGTTTTCAACAATTGTGCATTCTCTGTCACTGGGAGTGATTGGAATGTAATATCAAATATAAAATTGATTTGAATGCAGACACTGTCAAACCTTACATACTGCTGTCAGAGGATAATGACAGCATATCATGAACCAAAATGATTGAAATATGAAAAGTCCAGTGGGTCAAAAATGACGTCAGTTTTCAGTGAAAAAGAAAGACAGTCAAATTCTTCAACTCCATTGCCGTTTCACAGCAGTTTTCACTCAGTGTGGTCTAAGTGATTCCAGGTTATGTTGAGATTATATGGATATGAGTTTCCCCGTGAAGAAAGGAGGGGGTCTGAGTTGAACACTTGTCTATCTGCCATTTGATTGCACATAGTTCATAACTGAGCACATTTACCATTTTGATTTCTCAACCAAATTCTCCTCTAACACAATCAGATGATGTCAATACACCTGACTATACTACCTGTAGATAGACCTATGACTGTAAATGATTTTAATTAGTAATGTCATTATGATCATAATTTTATTTTGTTAATTACCAAATACTATATGTAGATACATGGAGAAGTTATCTAAACAGAAGCAGAATGAATATCTGAAGTGTTAGTTTGTAGTCATCACTGTCACTGACAGCCCCTTAAGACGGATGCCATAGGTAGTGATGGCTACAAACTTACATTGTGAAAGGTTTCCACTGCCTGTGTTAAGAGAACTTCTCACTGTAAGATACATGTCTTAATGTAGTGAACCTTTTCAATTCACTAATTACTATATGAAAATTTATTATATATAATTGATAATTTCATGATTATCTTTTTCTTCAGTACAATTTTTAGATATTCCAGGCTGTTAAGAAAACCTATTGTAAAATTGAGTTTGTTTTCAGAGTCAGTTAATTTTTTTTTAATGATGTATAAGAATGTTTGTCATCAACATGTTTTGAAAATTTGTGGTTGTGTACGTGAAGTAAACTAAAAAAAAAAAACACACAATTCATGACATTAAAAGTTTGAATTTGTAGACAAGGCCACCTTTTTTACTTCAATGTTTTTTTCTTTCCTTTTTATGGAGTTCCTAAGTTGTGGGTTAGGATTGAAATATGATTATTAACAAATCCTTGAAGGGGATACAAAGTGCTAAGAAAAACTGTTGATTTCCTTATTTAGTCATCAAAGTCTCAGTTGAGGAAACAGATGTTTATTACCAGTTTCTAATTAACATTGTCTTTTGACACATTGAAATTATTCACTTTTTGAAACAGTGTGTACCATGTAAATACTATTAGGAAAAAGTGAATAACAAGTAAAGTGAAACAGTAGAGTAACAAAGGGTGGCCAAGGCTAGTGGTTTGATTAGTTTTAGTTAAAGCATTGGACTTTTGAATTTGACATTTGTGATGCTGTTGCAATAGGTTCATTTCACAAAAAGAGTGAATCTCTGAGTCACATCAGTGATGCATTTCTCTCCACATTGGAGAGTACTACAGTATTTAACTGATACAGCAAAAATAATGGGACAAGGCAGAGGTAGAGCTACTCAAATATAACATGAAATACAGCCATCTTTGATGTGGCTCAGAGAGACACTTTTTTGTGGAATGACTCAACATTGCAGCTTGTTTGACTCACTAGTATTTAAATAATTGACTTGTCTGGTGGATAAAAATAAATCATTTTGACTAAATGATATTAAGTTGATATTTACTAAAATGAAATATTTTGCAACTCTATCACTGACATTGGTTAAGATTTTTTTTTTAGAATGAAAAGTTTAAATAACTAAATGTAATTTAAAAGATAATGCGGGAGTAAGATGAGCTGCAGTAAGTAAAATAATAAATAATTTAACCAACCTACCTGATCTGTGTTTGTAGAATCTGTCCAGTTGGAAGCAGCGGAGGCGAAGTAAGTCGTCACACTCGTACCAAGTGAAGGAGGACTTAGACAACATGTTCCAAGAGGAGGAACCCAAATCTGGGCGAGGCATAAAATCTTTTGCAGAAATGAGAAAAGAAAGGTGGGTACCTCAAATATGATAGAATTAATTCTGTATTAATTACATATAAAGAAGTGTTGAAAAACACAGAATGAAGAAAATGTTTTAAAATGGACATAAAAGCTTGAAGCACTGTGAGGGGAGTGTGTGTATCTATTACACAAAATAAGTAGTAATATGCGTTGAATGAAAAAATAGCCAGTTGGATGAAAAAATTATGACAACAAAACTAAAGCATTTTACTTGTCGTATGCACATACTTCATAGGTAATACACGAAA